GACAGAAATGTTCCGAAAAGAGTTAGGCATATAAATGGGTGTGGGGTGTGGGTGTGGGTGGGTGGGTGTGGGTGTGGGTGTATGTTGCTCTTAATTCCATTAAAACCCAAGCCTACACCCACACTCACACCCACACCCACACCCCACCCAATGCACTTGTAGGCCACTCTTGTGATATTTTTCTGGTCTTTTAGAGAATAACAATCATGTGCCAGCATGGCTCTCGAATACTGCTATTTCTTTTCGTTATTTGTGACATAGATAAGTATGTTATACGAAAGCTTCGAACAATTTCATTTTTCTCCAAAAAGTAACCCCGTTTCGAAGGGATTCAAACTCCTTTTTTATTAGGCTTTATTACAACATAAATTTATGATGAACTAGGTACTGTTTACAGACAATGTCATGTTTCATTTCGTACAGCTGTTGATTGAATTCATCAATTTTCAAACGAACGACAGTCATTGGAAGATGTTCCTCCAATTGCTTATCCAATAACCATCATCACTCAATAAAATATTGATTCTATTAAAGATCTAGTGAATTCTAAACGAGCTATTAATATTGATTACATTACTACCATCCTAGGCATAGTTATGACATAAACGATTGTGATGAACACTTCAAGATATTATTCAAAAATTCGTATAAGAAAACCAAATCATGAACAACAAATAGTAAACATTTCCATTATGTAAATGCAAAATCCCATAAACAAAATATTGTTCTCAATCTTAATTATCTTCAAGAGGGAAAAATGAAAGTTATGGCTCATGTGCTATGCACGTACGACTGTGCTCTTTCAAATTTGTGGTTGTTCAATGGTCTGAAACGTAAGGGTGTGGCTGTGAGTGTGGATGTGTGGCATGGGTGTCAGTTTTCTTCTCATCTGCACCCGCACCCACGCCCTTTTTATGTACAAGATTTTTCTTATGTAGTTTTTTATGAGCTTTATACATAAAATGAAAATATTAGAAACAAGACCAAATTATGTGATTTGTATCACTAAATTAATTATCATTTACTTTTTTTCTATTAATATTTATCTTCTTTGATTGATACGTTAATTAACGAATGTCTAATTAAAACGTGAGACACTTTATGCAATATGTATCAATGACATCAATACTTATAAAAAAAGTCATTTTTCTCTCATTTTTAATAATACACGTTTCCAATGACGATTTTATCACTGAAGACATAACATGAAAGTAAAATTTCTACATACAATAGCTGGACTATTATGAATTTCGTTTCTCTTCTCTGGCTGCTGAATAAAAAGGAGTAAATTCTGGTCAATCTCAAAATGAAAATATTTTGGATTTTTTTTCGCCTTTTCATGTTCGAAACGCTAATGATTCAATCAGCTCAACGTTGTTTGGATTTTGCTTGATAAAATCGAAAATTTTTGACGATATTTCATATTCCTCAAAAAATAGTCAAAACAAATTCGCTCAGCGACAATGTATCGACAATAGATTTGACATAACTTAAAACTTATTCTACAAATGTTCTTTCATTCAAAAAATGTATCAATACATCAATTACTCCAATCAATGGTTATTCAAATAATGAACATCATTTACTTCATTTATCCAAACAGAACAAATATTTTTAATCGAAGATGATTCATTTTATTGATCGAGATCTACATAAAAGAAATTTATCTTCAAAAACCTATATTCAATTTTTATAAATCATAACTAATATATTAGTAATCAATTCTTGAAAGGTCTACTGACATTTAAAATTTATGATGAGCAAATTATGTTGTCGACCTAGCAAGACATCAATGAACAGGAGTTTGAGATGAAGAGAAAATTCGATTTTCGATAGTATTAATCACATCAAAAAAATAAGTCAACAACTCAATGACGTTTTTCTGCGTCGTTTAAATTTTAGCCGTCAGTACCAAATAAAGATATTGGTATGAAAAGGTTTCTATTTACATATTAACTAAGCACTTTTTCTCAATTGTTTTTATAAGCTAACTTAACAGTAAGAAGCATTTATATATCTGTTTCTCTTGTTCTCATACATTTCTACCTGTTATATCATACTTTATCGTATAAAAAGATCTTATCTCGATAAATATAATTGTAAAACTAATTTTTATCATATATAAATACGCAGATTACATGGCTCTGTGAGTATTTCGATGTATGGGTGGTTGAAAGGACAAGTTGGATTTTAGTGTTGAGAAGGATTATTTTTTAGTGTTTGCTGACAATTTTTGTTTTTTATGACTCTTACAAAGGAGGCGCTCCTGGGTGGATGTATATACAACTATCTGAACTGTGGTGTTTGTAAAGATGACTCATTTGCATTTTTTTGCAGTGTTGGGTATTTCTGATACTTTTATTAATTAAGAGTATTTCATATCAAAAGAAACAGAAATTGACATTTAAAGCAAGCGAGACATTATTTTTCTTTCAGATGAAGAACGTGATAAAAAAAAATAATACAACTCATAACTTTATTTGCATAGAGAAAAGAAAAAAATTGCCAGTCGGAAAAAAACATCTGAATGTTGCACAATACTTTTTGCTTGTCGGTTATCGTCATTTCATTTGCTTCACTGCGATGTAAGCTTGTTGTTCTTCTCAGTTGTTGCTGGTTGGCCAAGAAGTTATTATTTCTCTAACGGAAATGTTCTAGTGGATCAAAATATTTAATATCTGATTTTTTTGTAGATATTCATTCTTGTATTGGTACTAATATATTGATCGTAGAGAAAAACAATTCACAGCAAATATATATTTCTCATGGAAGAATTCGATTCCTTTTTATCATCGGAATCAGACAGTGAAGGTCTACTGTTGTATTTAATTTATTCTACTTTGAATTGATATTCTCATTTTCTTTATAGAGGCTGCAAGAGTCGATTTGGTCAAATTAATTTCAATGCAAAATGTAGCAGATTTCCATTCAGTAGACGCAGAAACGTACTTAATCAAAACGGGTTTCTTTGAAGATCTAAATCCAAAGGCTGATACAACAGAACATGTATTTTCAACGATCACGTTGGAAAATCCAGCTTTAATCAGCTCTTCTAGTGAGCTTTTTGAAAAGACTATGACTGAAGAACAAGCTGTGCTTCGTTCGCTAGAAGAGGAGCTGCAAAATATCGAGTGGGAATTGCCTTTTCCAACGAGTAGTAATCCAGCCAAGGCGGCTACACTGGATAATCCAAAACACTTCATCAGCAGTGATCGGGACGATCTGCTGAACGATAGCGATCAACAAGGTAAATTTTGCGAAAATTTTCTTTAATCTTCATTCTGATTTGTATTTTCTTGCTCATATAAAAGAAAACTATAGTCAAAATCAACACGAAGTGGTCAAGATCGGAGAGACTCCAACGGCCGAAAATGATGGTTTGTATCATTGAATTATTTATCTCTTCCACCACAAATATCTCTGTTTTTTCAGTACTGTACAAAAATCCACATGGATCACTACTGGAACAACAATTATTTATAAAGCAAATAGATGAAACTGAATCAATGAATCATAATCTTTCCATAAATGATATATCAGTAGGAACGACAGGAATCGAGAAAAATCCTACTGATAAGTGTAAACCTACCAAAGTAATCAAGTCATCAGTAAGTTTTCTATAGTAATCGTTAATAGTCTGGTACATTTTTCATTTGAATTTTATTGGAATAGGATATTCCACTGACATCCACCTTTCACGAAAGTGGTCAGTCAGTATTAATATCTAATGCGAAACCGATGGTAATATCAGTCGCTCCATGTCCATATCAGCGTGCTCGATATGTAGACGAATGTTCAAACGCTAATAGACACATCTTTGTACCTTGGGATGGAATTTTTACACTCATTGTGAGTCATTGTTCTTCTAAAAAATATTTATCTATAACTTTCTTCAATGAATTTATTTAGATCCCCGATCTACGTTCAAGTTTACCGGCAGGTGTCACTGTCTGGTTGCGCATCACTCGTATTACACTAAAACATGGTACAAGTGGCCTCATTTTAGTTCATCCATATCCAATATGGATTAATAATGATTATGCCAAAGTTCATGATGGTTCATTGTATATTCCAGTCACCGAACAAGATATGGCAAATGGTTTCATCAAGTAAGTTGAATTATTTCGATGCTCTTCTTAAATAAACATCTTCTTTGCTTGTCAAGGATCGAATATCTTACCATGCTTCGACTTAGACAATGTGATCTAGCAAACATGAAAACATTAGCCATTTATTCACAAACACAATTGATGTCCACTAGTAATAAAAAAGTTTCGTAGAGTGCTGATCATATCAAATCATTGAGCCACATTTAGATCTGCATCCAATAGGAACAAACGGAGCAAAAGCAATGATAGATGAATATCATCTGCGATCGTCAATGTTGGCTTTTCTGTTAGTTCTTGTCGATGAGAATAACATGACATATTGCACTGATGTTATTTGTAATACAGAGCCAATTCAGGAATATGAGGGTAAATCTTGACTCTCGCCAATTAATAACTGAACAATAATAAGTGTTATTTTATTTATTTCAGCAAAAGAAATGGAAAGTTTGAGACATATTTTGGACTCTTATGGTGTTCCAAAACGGCAGCGAAGTCCGTTCAAGAATAAAAGAATTGATCAACCAAAGAAATCGCGAGCTGTAAGTTGATTTTGTGGACAAAATTGAACATCAGTGATTAATTTCTCTTATCTATAGACAATTTCGAAATAGAGTCGACGTGTGGCTAATCGACAAATACTGGGCTAAAGGCCCTCATCCGCGAATTTTTATTTTCTTTGTTCTTTTTTGGGTGTCGAAAGAAAGGTTTAATTCTGACTTTGACTCAATTACTTATCTTCTTCATATTATTCAAGAATATTGCTTTTTGCTTAATGTACCGGTGTTTGATTTGTTCTTATTTTCTTTATTGTAATAAAACGCTATTACTGAAGAATCTTGTTGGATAATCGAATACTGATAGTTAATGACTATCGATGACGTTGTTAGTCGTGTGGGCTTGGAAATGGGCTTTATTCCTTTTCCGTTCACACCCACATCTACATTCACCCACATTCCATACTCACACCCATCTTAAAGGCATTTTTGTTATTCGATCAATTCTCGTATGAAATAAGAAGAAGCTTGGTGGTTCCGAGAGCAGCCAACTCTTTACCCGTTACTATGAAGTAAGGCGCACTATAGTGGTTCCTATTGTGATTCTTTAGTATATTTATTGTGCAGTCGTCGAAAAGAGCTCACGTTTGCAGAAATGTTAAGGACTGTTTATGTATACTGCGTTTCCAGATGAGGGTGTGGATGTTGACCCACCGTATCCGTGTTTGCGAATCTTATATAAAGTAATTTTGAATAATCCGCATCGGCACATTTTTCTTCATGATCATGGTCGTAGTTCTGTTGCAAATATTTATTAACGTTATCGCTGAGACCGAATATTGAACAATGCTCAGGCACTGAACTGTTAAATAAAACGTGAACTTTGTACTCTGTTTTCAAGTAATTTCGACTGTTCTGAAGATCTCGTTTCAATTCAACAGCATCGATTGTAGTCAAACCTGTGAGGGAAAGAAATAGACAAAAATAATTACAATAACTAGTTTGCACTAGCAACTCAGTTAGTGATCTGTATTATCTCTTGGCTTTTTTTAGCAATCTAAGAATTCAGTAACATAAACAGAAACGTGAGCAGATAATATCAAGAAGAGGCAATAAAATTTGTCATTTGAAAAAAACACATTCGCAATATTTGATTTAATTTTTCTTAGATAAAGTTACATAAATCAGAATGCATATAGGCATTACTACTTGGTACTTTTTTTAGCTAAGAAAAGGTATAACACATCTCAATATCTAGATTTCAATCATATTTCATAAGTAAGCAGCATTGATGTTTATAATACTTAGAGTGTACCAAAAGTTCTGATCATGGTGTTTAAAGGATCTTGTCCGATACAGTGACCTATTCAGAAATGAGAGATTAAATATATCATGTTGTAGAGTTTTTCGAGATTTATCAAATAGTATATAGTGAATTCTGTTTTCATAAGACTTTGAAAGAATTAGAATCGATTTACTGATAGACGACTACACATCCACACCCATTCATAGTTGCATCCATCCCTCAGCACGATCAGGTGATGAATATTGTGTTCCTTGGTATTAATCGAAAGTATTTGTAAAATGCTTTCTCTCATATTCCATTCTGTAGAGTTTCTGAAGGGCTACAATCTCATCTACGTAGCATCTCCGGTCATGTGGTAGATGTGGATGTGGGTTGGTGTGCGTATGGATGCGTAGTCGTCTATCAGTAAATTGATTCTTATTTCTTCAAAGTCTTATGAAAACAGAATTCACTATATACCATTTGATACATCTAGAAAAACTCTACAACATGGTATATTTGACCTTTCATTTTGAATAGGTCACTGTATCGGACAAGATCCTTTAAACACCATTATCAGAACTTTTGGTACACCCTAAGTATATTGATAAAAAAAGGCAAGACTCAGATCATGATCAATATTCACAGTATACAGATGGAAATCTTTTTTAAACTTTACACCTTTGCCAGCGTGCAAGCATATTTTAATTTTCATTGGCATACTCTCAATATTAAGATCTCTGTTAATCAATTATGAAATTTAAGTGCAGTTTTCTTTTTTATCGTTGACATTCATGTGGGTGTGGGTGTGTGGGTGGATGTGAGGTGTGGATGTGGATGTATGATGTGCCAATGTGGGTAGGCGAAGAGAGAAGTAAGATATACACGTACATACATTACATACACCCATACCCACCCACACCCACACCCACATCCACCCACACCCACACCCCCACCCCCACACCCACTCACACCTACACCCACACCGGCCCACACCCATACCCACACCACACCCACACCCCACCCACACCCACACCCATAACTACGCAACCTGCAATTAAGAAAGACAATGTAACTGTTAGTTTATGATATTCAGACAGCTTAGTAATGAAGTACTTTATCATATTAGCTTGATTTCGATCAATGATTTATTATGTTTAAATTAAAATTCACAAAATTTGGTTTGACATTAGACAAGCGTTTCCCAAAAATCACTAGTCATAAGTAAATCATGTCTTTTTTTTGTTCATTCAACTAATATTCCTTGCCACTGTAATCCTTTTACAAGACCAGTTTTATTCTTACGTTGTAACATTTTCTCACTAATTTCAATTATCCCTCCATTATTTTGTTGCATATTCA